ATTAATATAAAACTAATTAGTAGTTAGTAATACTTTAAACATTTCTATTATTGAGTAATCATTTTATAAGTTATATATGTTAAACATTGGAAGACTTAAATGTATAATACAAGTATTAAATTTAACTTAGTTTTTATACAAGACAATGTTTAAATTTTTCAGTATAAATCGCAAAGAATTTTTAAATTGTTTCTAATAAGTATAACATTAATATAGAAGCAGTTGGTAATAATAACTAACTTGGAATATAGTTTTCTTCTTTTAAGTCTATTTAAATAATACAATTTTGGTCAGAAGTTTGAATGCAACTTTAAGATTATACACAAAAGCTCTTCGCAGCCAGTCGAAATTCCATTAGTATTAAATAAGTATGTAAATTGAGTTTTCGTCATCAGGTCAATGTTTTTTTTTTCAATTTTTATTTTATTAGGTTTCCTTTTTTTGCCTTGTACTTTATTATTTAAGGACGTTACTTTTGTATACTGTGGCCATTGCATTTACTTCTGCTAGTATTATAATAATACGTGCTCAGGTCACGTGATTTATTTACGACTGAGGTGCGGTCGGGTTGCCTCTATGGAGGGGTAACTAGTAGCTGTTCAGTAATTTCGATTCGTGTCATTTGTATATTACATCGTTGTGCTGTGTGTGTTTTTGTATAAGCTTTTCGAATGGAAATGAAAAAATACCTAAGGCAGAACCGCGTGTTAGAATTATTTGCCGGGGGGGAAACGGCTGTGCAAAGTAATATTTATATAATAAAATATTATGTATAACATCGCAAGAGAGGGCACTTATTTTTAGGTTTAATATCCACTTTCCATATTGAGCGAAATCTCAGACAATCCCAAACTTGCCACGGAACAATCCTGGCAAAGAAATACATACTGTGACAACTACGTATATGATTTCCCATTAAGATGTATACGTGTGCTACACCAAATGGAAGGATTTACTTTTTAGAATTCGCTTGACTTGCCGTCTTTAAGTTTTAAGTGTCAAAATGATAAAATATAATGCTTGAGTAAAAGGAACATTATACTTGTACTACTTATTTCCATTAAATGGGAATAAGCTTGAAATAACTTATGACCTGTATAAAAAATAAATTAAATATTAGAATAAATATCAGAGAACCACTTGCAAAATAAACATCCTCAGAAAATAAATAACAGTATAAGAGTCTTCATTAGAGTTTATAATTTATAGCAGTAAAACGTGATTTTTCAAGTGAAATAATGAGCAATTAAAAATATAGTTTATTGAACTTTAAATGCACCAAAAGGGCAAAATGTCAATTTAAATTTTATAAATTCTATAAATGGGGAAAATTCATAAAAAAATTACTATTTTTAAAATCAGTAATTTTCGTAATTTTCAAACTTTTTTTAATTAAAACTGCGATAACTTTTTAAAAAATGGATGAATCAAAAGAAATTTTTTTTAAAGATACCTTAAGTATTTTTTCTTATCGTTTGTTGTTTTTTTTTTTCAAAATTAATCCTTTACTCGACTACAGAGGGACATTCAAAAAGGCAACTTTTACACACAAAATGAACTTTTTTCTAAAGTTTTGAAAATACTACGGAAACACTGACAGTTTATACATATCTTAAATTCAATATTCAATACCATTGCTTACACCTCAGATTTTTCAAGGTCATGTTATCTTCACATATATCACCCATTCCTAATTAATATATCTATAAATTTTTCAGGTTTTATGTAGGGATCTGTTTTGTAATTTACAATGGATTTTGGTTTCAAAACTAGTTTTTTAGGTTTCGGTTATCAGTCCTGGCGAGAATATATAAAATCTTGATCATCATACAGGGTGACTCTTTTAATGATATCCAAAAATTTAAGTAGGAGTTATAATAACCATATGATTACTCTAACTTCACTTAAAATTTTTGGCTAGCGTTACAAGAATCACTCTGTATGATGATCAAGATTTTATATATTCTCACCAGGACTAATAACCGAAACCTAAAAAGTATGATCCACGATAGGTCTATATTTGATAGCACATATATTGATGACTCATAGTTTATGATTTATGGAAATTTAAATGTTTAAATGTCAAGGAGAAATTTTGTGTAAGAAAATCATTATATAATACATTCTTCGAATATATAATGATTTTATATACACATTGAGTACATTCAGTTATATTATTGAAATTATGCATATTTAAAATTGATAAAAACCATTCTATAGATACAATTTTTAAGTCCATAAACATTTTTAATATAATTAAGTGTGGAAGTAAAAGTAATTAAAATAAGTTTTAGTGTATAAGTCTCTGAGATAAACTGGAGTTTTAAAAGAAATTAATTTTATAACACATTTCTTTTTAAAAAAAGTTATTGAAATCCAAGAAAATTAAAAAAACTATTTACATCAAAAGAGATTTTATACGAAAAAATAGTACATTTTTTATAATTCAAAGACATTTTTAATATTTAATATTTACATTTCATTTGTAATATAAATAGAGAATGAATAAATTCGTTATTTAATTAAGTAAAACTTCTAACAATGTTGTGTAAAATTGAATATCACCAAGCTTTAACATTTTTTGCCACAATAACTTTTTACGTTAGAAATTAGAATTGTATTTTAAATTAGCATACTAAATAAAATAATGAAAGTTAATTTCAAGTTTTACTTGATGGATTAATCGAGAATAATATATCATGTTTAATACTTAATAATTGAAAATTTCAAAAGTTAATATAACCAATCAAAATAGAATTAGATATAATTCTAAAAAAATTTTTCTTTTATCAAAATTATTGATTCTTTTAGTTTTACAAAATTTTATTTTCCCAGTTAACTGATTTTTTACTTTTTCTTCTTCAAATTTTCGGTTATCAAAAGTCTCAACTTTTTAATTTTAAGGGTTTCTCTTTGTTGTTTAGTTTTCCGGGTGAATAATTTTGAAAAAATTAATAATTTTTGACATAAATTAATATTTCAGGCCATAATAACTCCCAAAAAAACTAAAAATTACAAGAAACACATATAAATAAAATATACATTTCATTACATTAAATTAATTTCGCACAAACATAAGTAAAAACAGTTTTTACTTATGTTTGTGCGAAATTACAGTTACTGTATTTAATGATGTATTAATGAAAATCAAAATAAAAACTTTTAAAAATATTCTAGCTCTTTTTTATTTTTCATTACACGAATGAACAATTGTAAACGATCTAATATTTTTTAACCAAAAAAAAAATGATGTAAATAAATATGACTGCGTATAATATCTCTAAGATAAATTTAGCGTATTTTACTAAGAGACAACAAGTACTAACACCAACGAACTAATTTAAATATGATTTGGTATCAGTTTAAATAATATTTATTATTTAAATGATTAAAAGTACATGATATTATATTGTTATCAAACGAACTAAGAACGTGTACATAAATGAGTGGTTTGAATTTTATTGCAGATTGTTCCATCAAGTGTTGGGTTTAAAAACTAATTGTACATTTTACAAAAAGAAAAAACCATATGAGAATTATCACACACGTCATGGCGTTAACCTAATAACGACCGTGTAATCCCCTCTTTAAGGGTTACAATCACATTCACATAATGAGTTTAGCGAGTTTTCAACCATTCGAATGGGTCCGAATCCTAGACAATGATAACCAAAATAATTCGGCTCGACACAGAGAATTTGTGTTCCGGTAATTGCGTTTATGTAGCGGAAACAATGGAAAAAGGCACGTACGGGGGCGATAGTAAAAGTGACTCACAACTGCATCTAGTTCAGTTGCTGACTAATCTAACAGTCTGTACCGCAAATATGAGCTATGAATTAAATTGGACCAAATAATGTCACAAAAAATATCAATATCAAGGCACATCTCAGTTACATGAAATCGAAAAATTAAATAAATTTTGATTTTAACATAATTTACATAATTTAAAAATTATAGTAATTTATAGATACATTTTTTCATTTTTTCTAGAGACCATACGTAATATAAGACAACAAGAAAAAGTCAATCCACTTAGAAGACCTTCAACCGGCGAATTCGGGAGGACGCAAAATTATTTTTTTCGTCACTTATCTAAAGACTTGAACTTCACCATTGATTATATCCTTTTTGTACTTCATAAACATTAGTAGGTGGTATTAAGTCAAATGTCAGTTATAGAGAAGATTAGATGAGATTAAAGATTACTTGAAATAGTATAAAACTTAAAATAAGTATTAATAGTGACATCTTTGAACAATAACTTATATTCTAATAAAGATATATATGTCTGTAATACTAAAGAGTTAATTAACTAATTCAGCATCCTTTTCTAATTGAATAAAAAGTTTTTCTTTAATAGTCTATTCTTTGTCTTTTTTCTTATCAAAACTATTTAAAAACACTTAAGAACATTATACTATATCAAATATATTAAATAATCCATAATTTTAATAGAAATTCGTATTACATGTATGAGTAATTACCTAGTGTTAATACATTACTTTTAATTTTATATATATTATGTATAATGATTAAAAATATTTTTGTAAACAAAAAACAAATAAGAAAAGGATATTCTATAAACCTTTTAGTTAAACATTTTAATATAGCGCTTTGTACATTTTGCATTGGTGTTCTAGATAAGTCTTTTTTAAGCCTTATTTACATCTTTCTTATTTATAATTTTACATTTAGTTAATGAAGTATGCAATTGAACATAGTTACAGACGTATCTTTGTAATAGTACTAAGCAAACCAAAACACAGGTTCATTATATATAAAGTCGGACAAATCATGAATGAATGCGAATAAAAATAATTTACAAAAAATATATTTTGGTTTTTGAAATCACATTTCTATTCAATAATACTCATAAATTAGTTAAAAACCACTCTAAATAATTAACAATTAGTAAATAAATGTAAATAGTAATCTCTCGAACACGTGTCATATCATCTTGAAACATACAAAAATGATATTTTTATGTTATTCCTTACCTTATATGAGCCTAAATCATCCACAATGCATACTAAAGTCGCTTCTCTACCGACAGGAACTGTGACATTAGCTATCGATTCTGCAAACTTGGGCATTTCTAAAACAAATCAGTAAGTAACAAGATTAGACTAAATTGTTTGTAAATTAACTGTAAATAAAATTTGATACCAAAATAAATTAAAAAAATATATATATTTAATATATCGTTTATATCACCTTCATTAAAAATAATAATTTTCGAAAACAATCGAACTATAAATACTCATTACTAACGATATCTTAAGAAATTATTAAATATGAAAAAAATTATATATTTAATATTATAAAATACCGTTAAATAAAAAAATATATATTAAAATATCGACTCTTACTTTGTTAGTAGAAAAACATTCGTTTTATCGTTGATAAATAAAATAGTTAATGTAAAAAATGCGTAAAACTACGTTTTTCAAATATTTCTAAAAAAAAATAAAAATTTTTATTTAATAAGTTATGATTTGACTATTACCTAAACACACTTTACGATATTATATGATTTCATTATTATTGCAAAAAATCAAAATATTTCAGTAAACATTGTTCGTGGTATAACTAGTAATTCATTATATGAACATAAACTCAACAACATGAGTTTTATTCCAAGATGATGCCAGGAAAATCGAACATAATTTTCAATTTAGTCATAAAAATGACTAAAAATAAATTTAAAACCCGTAGTAGTATAATAAATATTATTGCATTANATAAAAATTTAAAACCCGTAGTAATGAATAAAAATAATATCATAATAAATTGTATTTAGGTCCGGATATTATCTGTAAGCCACCAAGATAATTTCAGTGGGTCGTTCTAAATTAAAGCCGATATGATAAATATTATCGCATTAAAATTAGTTTACTTTTAAACGAATTATTCAAAATATGTTAATAGCTAAAAAACACTAGTAATTAATGGCTTCAATGTATGACTTGAACGAATTTCGCCAGTGAATTGATTGGACCTGATTGTATTCACGACAGATTTTTCTCTGTGAAAAATGAATTTTTAAACCTTGATTTAATTTTGTTGACACGCTTATTCACTTCGAAACTAAACTTCAGTTCTTCCTAAATGATTTTAAGCCTTATATACGGATTTTTATTGATAAACCAACAGTAACTCGATTACAAACACGAACGTGCGACACAGCGGTCATATGATTTTAAATGAAATGATCAATATTTTTAAAGCGTATAAAGGTGTAATGACAAATAATCCTCAAGTAATTTGATATTGTATCGAGTTTAAAGATTTGTGTCGTGTTCGTCTAAACAAGCGACTACCGTTGGTGATTTTCATTTTTGTAATGGTCATTTTGCTATACACATCGCTTAAACATATAGACGTTGTCTCAAATAGAGAAAAAGCTAAAACGAATATATTGTCATCATATCCATAAATGTAACAGTTTTCTTTTATTACACGACCATTTCAACCGTGATGGCATCCATTCACCGAGATCGAACAGGCTCGATAGCTTTTTTAGTTTTGTTTTGAAAAATCCCACTCGCCCAATCCCTATGTAATATATTATTATTGTCTATGGATTACTTCAGCTTTGTTGTTACCGACAAAAAAACACAACCCTAGTGAGGGCTTATTATGATAATTATTGGCTTGTTTTTTTCTTTATATTATACACGAATTACAAATTATACTGATAGCAGTACCATCCGATTGGTTGAAAAATATAAAACTTTGACACGAATTCCCCAAAATAAAGTAATATGTTAATTAAATTTTTTTCTAAGACAAAGATTACGATAAAAAACCAACGACAGCTATAATTTCAAACTTTTTATAACTTTCCTTGGATATTAATTAATAAAATATTTATTAAAACAGTCATGAAACATTGGCAATTGTCAGTGATTCTCTGAAAGAATTAATTTAAATTAAACTTCAACCATCAATATTCCTTCGCTACTGTTTATATACCCCTCGTAACTACCACGCTAATAAAAAAACACCCCTTTAGATCTTATATAATTTAATTCGCTTTACTTTTCAAAAAAAAAAATTGTTCATGAACTATAAAAAAACTTGCATGCAATAGTTTTACTGTCTGTAAATTATATGTATAATATATTTTTTTAAGTACTTTTAAACGTACATGTTGATAAATAAGTATATTTTACCTTTGTGAGGTATTTCTTATTTTTTGTGCAGTTTACTTTAATATAAGTTAAAAATTTTACTACTATGTCCAGATAACCTAAACGTCTATTGTTTAATGAGAAATGGATTTTCGCATAAAATAAAATTAACGCATGGCGTTTTTATTTTCATGATTTAATATTGAATAATATTATTTGTTTATTATTTTTCACATTAATAAACAGTATAAAATTAATTATATTATAAAAAGTTACAGAAAAAAACAAATTTGTTAATAACAAAAGTTTAAGTACCTTTACATGGTATAACCATAAGCACTTCAAACTTAAATGAATTATATATTTACACGCAAAGTTAAGGCATATAAGCATTTTAAATTGATAAAAATATTAAGTTAACTTCCAGTACTGATAATCTTCGTTTTGCATAACAATATGTTCTACTTTATTACTGTTAAAAACACAAATATGCCTAATTCACGGTCTGATTTTGTGTATACACCGATACGAATCATTGTTTCTTAGCTTAAGTAAGTTTTCACAATCGTAAAAACAAATGTACTACAAAAGTTTTTGTTTTTGTGTACCGTTAGTAAGAATACTAACCAATGGCCTAAGTATTGTATAACTTTGTGCCTCATTATACATAAGCGTATAATCGAATAACAATGGGCGTACCCTTATCGTTGCAGTTCGTATAGTATGTATACAAGCCAACGTACTTTATAACCTACAATTTTCTAATGACCTAACCTTTGATTTTCTTTGCAGGATACTTTTACAGTAGCTAAAACATGTGTAGCTTGTACGTGTATCGTGGAACTATTGCAAAAATTCTAGAAATTACCTACAGATAAACATTTGAAGATCTGATAGCAAAAAAAAAATTTTTTTTCTTAGAATTTACATTGCAGTTTTTTCACTAAATATCATCGATCGTTTCAAACAATACTTCAATATGTTTAAATTTAAATATTTAACAATGATTTTCTTTAAATAGCCAAACTATTAAATGTACTGACTGATAGTAAACCTAACTGGGACTACCACATAGAATTCTTGACCAAAATTTTATAAAATTTAATAGCATTTTTACAAAACGTATCCTATTAAACCGCCTATAAACGTGAGATTTTTGGAAAACCTAACAACTTTTTTGCCGCCAAGAGGAAAACGGCGTGTTAGACTCGTTCCTAGAAACGCTAATATTCTACGACGTGGATATGTTGGCGTTATTAATAATTCTGGTCTTTTAATTTTGTTTTGTTTTCCACAAGACGTACTACGTGAACATCAAGAGTTATTGCGGTCACTTGGGATCTGATTATAGGCGGCCGTCATAATGGGTATAAATCAACAGCTCAAAAAGCGTGATAGCCGCCAATATAAGTATCGTGTGATTCGTCCACGTGGTGCGATAAACGGTTTATATAAAATACCGTACAAGAGGAAAAGTTCCCGATGATGATAATAATAAAAAGTATAAAAAAAATATAACATCGCTTGCCCCCGTGTATTGTAGTGCGCCGCATACGGACGAGCTTCTACACAATATAATAATAGTGTAAAATATGACGTAATCCTCGATTTTCCAGTGGCTATTTAACATCAACGAAAATATCGTAAATAATAATAATAATATTGTATACATAATAATATACCGATAGGCGAGCACGTAATAATGCGCGCGGAGACCTTTGCCTGGACCTTTTATACTGTTTTCATGCAAATATCCAACACAACACTTTATAATAACGTTGTTATAAAATCTTTATATTTTTTATTCGCTCAAACTGCTGCTACTGCAGTGCGCAGTCATTGGAGTTGCTTTTATATTTATAATAATGTGCGTTCTCACATACTCACACATCACAGCCCGTAGTGTGTATGTATAACAAGTACACGAGGGAGGTCTGTATTTCGTTCTAGTCGGAAAAATGTTGAATTTTATGAACGAGTAACGACGACCATGTATTGGAATATGCCCATTGCTGTTTCGTTAAAAGTTCAAATGCCAGTAAGTTCTTGCTGAGATTTACTTTACTGTACGATCGGAACGCGTGAGGAAATACACCAACAGGCGTCTTGTTTACACATGTGTTATTATAATACACGGCGTATAAATAACAGTACATAATTCTATACGACTGGTTAAATGCCATATTTCTCCTTTACGTGTTTCTAAATCAAATAAAACAGTTTTTTTTTTTCAGAATATTGCGTATGTATTTTAATTAAATCTGTATACATGTATTTTAAATATGTTACTGTGTAGCGTACAACATGCGGAACCCTAACAACAAATCCGTTTTTCTACCCTCAGTTTATTTCTTCAAATAACTATTGTACTACAATACAGTACAACGCATAAAAAACTGTACTTGAGTAACTGATTTTTCAAATACTACACAAAATTTATGTAAATCAAGACTATTCAAATTAAACTTTCCGAAGAAATACAATCGCTGGGCTGCATAAAAGTTTTTCCGGTATACGACTTGTGTATTTTTACAAGGAGGTTCTTTGATATAACTAATCGATACAGATTGTTAACTAATTATTTATTAATAGGCATATAGGGAATATTTAGTATATTCATTAAAATTGTATTTATAACATTGATAACTTAATCGACTATTACAAATTGTTGGATATTTAGAGACTTCTAGTAGAAATGTTTTCTGATCTAATATAGACATTAAGTTAGAGAAATAATTTTTATGTGTTTATGAATAGAAATACTCAAACTATTTTATAATAAGATAACAAACTTAACTAATCCAGTTGTTGAGGTGTTTAATGATTCAACTAATTGTAATTAATTTTTTTTGCTAAAATATGATCATTTGAAAATGTAATTAAAATATCAGACTTCATAGTAATATACTCTTATAATAAATAAAATTATGGCTAACAGTTATAAAGGGACCATAAAATCACA